GAAATATTCAAAAATAATTTCTTTCGAAGAATCTTGTCTAACTGGTGTTCCAGCCGTTCAGGAAGTCCGTGCTTTTTTTTGTGAAAGAAGGGCGAGGTTTTATCTGTAACGCTAGAAAAGGGAGTTTTTTCAAATGATTCCAATCAAAATGTTTTTTTATTAAAAGGAAACATTTAAATTAAATATCAAATTTTTAAGACAGATAATTCATATTTTTTGGAATAATTTTTCGGTGTATCGTAAATTATAACATAGTTTTTTTTTCAAGAAACCCCTCGACAATCTCACTCGACTTCATCTAGTGAGGTAATGGCCATGGGTTTTAACAAAAACTATGATAAGATTTACGAAAAAAGAATGATATAGTTTATTGAATTATTGTACCCAGAAAGTTAACAACATATGCAGAGCAAAAACAGCATGCGTACAGTAAGTATTTTGTATGTTAATTTTCCAAACTCGTGACCGTCATACAATTAAATACCTAACCTAACCTTATCCACCTTTACGTCGGAGACGGGACGTATTATGATATACCAATGCCCGTCTGTCCGTCCGTACACACTTCGTACGATAACTCAAGTTCTCTTTCACAATTTTTTTTTCTTTAACACAACAATAGAATTGACAGGAGAAAGCTCCCTTTCGATTGTTTTTTCAATTTTTTTACTTGTTATTCCAGAGTAACGGAATCTTGACCCTTATATTTAAGATAATTTTGCTCAAATCCTGCACAAACTCCAGTTTTCCTGATATGGTTTCCTTCAAACTTTACATTATTGTGGGAATTGGTGATAGGAAGCTCCCTATTTTCTTTTTTTCTTTTTGGTTTATCGTTCTACATGTACAGTTACGGAACTTTAACTGTTGCATTTAAGGCAGTTGTTTGCGTACAAACTCCAGTATTCTTGTATTGATTTTCTCTCTCTCTCTCTCTCTCTCTCTCTCTCTCTCTCTCTCTCGTATACATATACGCAGTCTATAGTATAAACGACAACTGGATCCCTTCAAGGGGAGTAGTCCACTATTTAGCTACACCAATTTTGGGGAATTTTTTTTAAAATTCACATATTTTACTAAACTGGAGTCCTATAATATAGTGGTATATCTACTTAAGAAATCCACCCAGACCCAGCAAGTACCCAAATGGAATTTAAACGGAAGTGTCTGTCTAAGCTAGGCATTTTCATACTTTCTTTTACATCGCAGTGTGGAATTTGAAAACTACCTAGGGAAAAAAAAGCATTTTGAAAAAAGTACCTTATTCCCTGTGAAAAACTGTAGTATACAATTCAGTCGTATGAAATGAAAAATACTGTTTGGCTTTGAACTATCTATTGTATGTTGTACACTATTAAAACTAAAATCTGCTTAAGTCCTACATGTCTAATGAATGAAATGTGTACAGCAAAATTTCTACCTCTATATGTTTGCTTTAATTCACAGTTGGTTTCCTAATGAATTTGTTATAATCTCTGTCTTCCAGTATTTTCTTCAACAAAAGAGTCTCAACGTTTGATACTACAAGAATGAAATTTAACAATCTTCGTTACGGGTCCTTCATGAAGGATCCTCCTATTGAGCAGGTCAGGTGGTAAATGTCGCGTCAACGTTTCTCAGTAAAACATTTATGGGATCACACTATTTGAACATATATACGTTCAATCAGAACCAAACTGAATTTCACTTTGGTGTCATTGAAACAATATAATACTTTGGAGAGGCCTTTATTATTGTTATAAATCAATTTTTGAAGTAAACAATCCTCATCCACAGTTGGAATACATAGAGAAAATAATGCTTCACTTTACGGGAGTTCACATTTTCATCTTTTTCATTTTGGTATGATTGAACGACACATATGTGATCTTTATTGATTCACAAAATGTACGAAGATAACTCTCTGTCATTTATTTTCTATGATGTGCTTTTGTTTACTGTTTCATATCTCCTCAAATAATTACTGGATTCTCATGTATTGTTACGTATTTTACTTTATTATGGAAATATCTTTCTTTACAAAAGTAGGAGTAGGTGCGAGTCGACTCGGAGTCAGACAAATGCATTTTATTAGCAACTGGAAATTTAACAGCAATCCAACATAACTGTGACATAAATATTATCTTATGTATCTAAACTTTTGAATCTAATTAAGCCTACAGTATTTCTCCTGAAATGTACTATTTTTTTTATAAAACAGAATTTTACTGTTCATAAATGAAATTTAGACTCCATAAAAAACTAGAATACTTTGTTCCTTTAAATTCGCTTTTCTTTTTTTAATTGCAGCATTTTCTAAATAATGATGTCTTTACACAAAAAATAAAATGCTCCGCTAATCTAAAGCTTGATACGACCGCAGAGTTCGAACCCCGCAACACTTGAGGCAAGTATGGACACAACATTAAAGCTTAAGACAGCTCTGAATTTGGATTCTGAAATTGGACATTTACCTATTATGGTCCAATATCCAAAATCTAAGTACTTGGTTAGAATCAGCATATCAAACAACCCAGATAATTCAATTGTTGATGAAATAAAATAATAGTCTAATTTAGGACCCTTTGGACTTCAATGTGGCCCAATTTAATAAAGGAGCCCAAATTCCAAAATCTAAATACATGGTTAGATTCAGTATTTCAAAGAAACCATTAAATTCATGTTTTGTTTAAATCAAACAAAGTTTAATTTTGGATTCTGATTTGGACCAACTTGAAAACTGGGCCCAAAAATCTAAAATTTGAATACAGGTTTAGATTCAGCATTCCAAAGAACCACATATCTATATATATATATATATATGTATTCAATTTATGTTGAAATCAAACACAGTCTAATTTTGAACCCCGATTTGGACCAACTTGAAAACTGGGCCAAAAATCAAAAACCTCAATACATGTTTATTAATAGATAATATAAGCTAGTATTATCGACGAACTTGTCACTTTCAATTGAATATATTATTGTTTCAATTTTTATCTATATAAATTTTAAGTGTAATATGACTCCAAACCAGACCTGGGGTCAATTTCATGCAAAAGTATTTAATTACATTTCAATTACATTGCTTTTTAAATGTAATTAATAACATCACAATTACATTGATTTTCAAATGTAATTAATTACATTACACATGTTACAATTACATTACCAATTTAATTAATTACATTTCAATTTCTTTTGTCAAAAGACATACAAAAGCTACATCATTTAGAATAAAATCATAAAAATATCATCCGGCAAGAATAGAATGAAACTTTTATATATATACATGCTCTTTTAAACAGTGAAATTATTTGTACAAGATTTCTTTTACAAAATATAGTTTCAAATTTTTAAAGTCGTTGTTACATTTGATCACCGTTCGATTTTTAATGCTAATTTTTTTATTGAATATCTTATTTTTATGGGAAAAATAGATCCGGATTAATATAAAAAAAATATTCTTCAAAACATTTATTACAATTTCAGGTTTCTACTAAAAATATAAATTTAGATTTTAAAGGTTTTCTTATGTAACTCATGTGAAATTTGAAGCAACTTTAAAGCTTTCATTTATTACAGAAGAAGTAATGGTAGCATTTTCCAGTCTTGTATTTTGTCAAGTGTATTTGACCCCATTCTTGTATGTTTTGACTGCTGTATTTAAAATTTTGTAGAAAGTGTTTAAATAATATCCATCAGTACAGATTTTAACATATACATATGATGGTTAAAAAAAATCCCTTTGGCATTTTAATCAAGAGACAAACTTGTACTTCATAATTAGTTAAGTTAAAGGAATTACCTGAGGTTAAGATTATTGTTAATTGTTAGAACAACAAACATGTCTTTACAAATTGTATGTAAATAAATTGGTATTGTCTTTAATTTTCAGATTTTTATTTGAAAATGTGAAAAAAATGAAATACAAATAAAGATTGTTATACATCCTATAATGATTAATAAAATCAAAGTACAAAGTGTATACTAAATATAGGAAAAAATAAAATTTACAAGTTGCATCAGAAAAGCCAAAAATTTTCAAAATTTCCCAGCAATTATTCAAATGTAATTCAAAGTAATTGAAAAGTAATTCATAATTACATGTCTAAAAGGCAATGTAGTTCATTACTTTCAATTACATGTAATTGAAAATATGCTCAATTACACATTACATTAAATTACTTTCAAAATTATAATTAATTACAGCTAATTACAATTACATTTTTAATTACACCAGGTCTGCTCCAAACAATGTAAACACTTCCCGACTACAGGTTTTGTCAGAGATGAAGAATTCACTTTATAAAAAATTAAGAAAGAAAGTAAAAAAGTAATTATTTTAATGCTTATTAATTGTTATCTTTTAAAAACAGGTTGTTTATAATAACACTGACATCTAAACCATGGAATTTAGAGTATGGATGTTGTGATTCAAATATGGTTGGAGGTGGCTGGTTCCTAAGTCAAGACAAAATAAGTTTGGTATTTGCTGCTTCTCCGCTAACCACAAAGCAATAACAAATAACAAAGACTGATCAGCTCAGAATTAGAATGTTGTTTATAATATGACAAAATAATAAACTGTGTGTGTGGGCGGGAGGAGAGGCTACAGATAGCCTTATTGAAATTTATCAAATCTCCAACTCAAAGTCGGCAAAACATGAACATATTTCTCCGATACTTGCTGATTTACATTGATAACCCGTCCAATACCGACCACAATACAAAATACTTACGTATGTGTACTGCGCTTTGAATGGCATTGGCCCTGCTTACATTCGGGAACTAGTCAATTTACAAGTGCCAAACCGATCTCTGCGTTCAAGCTCTACAAAACAACTTACCGTTCCAAAAGTGAGGACGAAGACGTACGATGAAAGACAATTTGATTGGGCAGCCGCATCTCTATGGAACAATCTCCCGAACAGTTTAAGACAATGCAAGTCCCTAGAGTGTTTTTAATCTCAGCTAAAAACTCATTTTTATCGAATTGTTTTTTAATTAGATTTTTTTCATTTTCTCTTTTACGGGTTTTACTTGTTTTGTATCAACTTTTAATGCAACTTTTTTGCATTCCTTTTTAGAGTTTTTGCTTGTTTTGCATGCTTTTAGCCTATATTGATAATTTTAAAATTTTCTGTTTTAACATGTATTTGCGTATTGACCTTTTATTTTATGGTAGGCATTTTTGTTGTATTTTGTTTATTTTTCAGTATTTGAATCTGACACAATGTATGTTTTATGTTTTTGTCATTGATTTGTTTTCATTACCATGTTGAATGTACAGCGCCTTAGAGTAATTTTATTTTTTTTATAGGGCGCTTTATAAATTTTCATTATTATTATTATCATATTATATATTAAAAGAATAAATTGTGAATCATGACATTTTTATTCATTTGTAAAGTTTAAATGAAAATTTTATTATAATTTTTCAACCCCCCTTTTTTACCTGAAATTATATTTCATGTTTTGAACAAAAACATTGCAGGAATTTTTATTCATTCGTAAATTTTAAATGAAAACTCTATTTAAATTTTCAACCCCCCTTTTTTGTTCTTTTATTTTAGTAACTTGAAATGTGTGATAAATGTAAGTGCAAAATAACTCACAAGATGAACTTCACATCTGTATGACAATTTGCATTTTCAAATTATATCTTGCTTTTAAAATGTTCTTATGTATTTAAACAAGTTGACATTTTTATACCAAACAGTTGCTTTCTATTGATTATTTTTTTCATTCCCAACAAAAAGTCATGAAATTGTTTATTTTTTTATGTATAGTATGTGTATTATATATACATCTGAAATTATATTTCATGTATTGAACAAAAACAATGCCATCTATTTTATCAAAAGGATGCAGAAATGATCACTGTAGCTAGTAAGATATCTAAACCAACCTGTGTAATGTTAATTTTACTGATAAATAACAAATTTGACAAATTTCATTACATGAATGCTGACAAGTTTTGTTTTGTTTTTATCTCAACACTAGTTGTGTAAAACTTTTCAATTTGATGGCTATTTGTAGGACTGTGTAATTATTTTCAAAATATCTAATAATGAACAGTAAATTTCAAATTATATTTATATTGTCCTACAGGCTTATCATCAACAACACTTAGGAAAAACACAAAGTTTTCAAATACAACCCAATTATAATTGTGTGATTGATAATTACTGGATGTCTTGATAATAAGTGAAAAATATAAAAACACCACTTAGTGTTATCAAACTTTATATATATATAATCAATAGTTTCCAATATTCTTACTTTTATTTGTCACCAACTAATATCTGCAACTTATCTATCAATGCCAACAACTGTATCTACGCAATGTATTGTAATGAAATATATCCTTTAATAAAAAGATTTGTATCTAAAAATATTTTTTTTTATTAAGATGTAACACAACATAATGTATGGCACAATTGTATTTAAAAACATCAGTGACCTACATGTACACTTCCACTTCAACAGATGGACAAAGGCCTATTTTAATTTCTAAGGGATTTTTCAACCATGAGAAAATATTCAAACATGTTAACAATCTTGAAATGCATACACAATTGTCACCACAATTAAAATATCTGAATCATCAAATTTATTCTAAACTATGACTCAATTTAAAATTTCTATCAGTTTACAATAAATCTATACATGTAGAGCTTGATTAACTATTTAATATCCCAACCCTCCAATTAGGGTATGGAACCTTGTGCTAAAATTTCTTACACATCCATACACTTATACTAAAGTTATTTTATTCATTTTGCATGAAATAAAAATAAACTCATCATAGATACCAGGATTAAATTTTGTATTTACGCCAGAAGCGCGTTTCGTCAACAAAAGACTCATCAGTGACGCTCGAATCCAAAAAAGTTAAAAGGCCAAATAAAATTAGATATGATTAATTGTGCAATAACATCTAAGAATTTAAATTCTGAGGAAATATGTAATAATAGCATAGTTTCTGTCACTGAATGAATGTGGTATAAGTTTTAAAATAATTTTAAAATTAGACATTTACCAATTATGGTCCAATATTCAAATTCTAAAATCATGGTTAAATTCAGCATATCAAATAACCACATTGTTTATCTTTTTGTTAAAATCAAATTAAGTTCTATTTTGGTTAATTTGGACCTTAATGGGATCCAGTTTTAAAAACGGACCAAAAGTCAACAACACTGTAAAATTGCACACATTACAGAACACCAATGATTTAATTTTTGAAGAAATCAATCAAAGTTTAATTTTGGACCCAATTTGAAAACCAAGCACAAAATCAAAAAATATAGAACACTGTTGGATTTGACCATATTAAATAACACAAACAATGTTCAATTTTGGACCCCAATTTAGTCCATCTTAAAAACTATGCCCAAAATCAAATATTTCTAATCACACGCTTAGATTCAGCTTATCAAAGAACACCAACCTTTTTTTTTAAATCCAAAAAAGTTTAATTCGGGATCCTTTGGACCTTAATGTGGGCCGACCATGCCCCAAATCAAAAATCTAAATACACTCTTAGATTCAGCATGTCAAAGAACCCCAAGAATTTTTTTTTTTTTAAATAAAAAAAAGTTGTATTTTTGACCCTTTAGACCTTAATGTGGATCAATTTGAAAACAGGCCTCAAAATAAAAAAATCTAAATACACGATTAGATTCGATCTTACAATCAGTTTAATTGAAGTCTGGAGCTAGCATGTCAGTAACTGATAGTAGTCCTTTGTTAATTTATGTATCATTGTCATTTTGCTTAGTTTCTTCTGTTACCTATTCTGACATCGGACTCGGTCTTCTTTTAAACGGAGTTTTACTGTGCGTATTACTGTGTGTTTGTTTTAATTCTACATTGGCTAGAGGTATAGGGGAGGGTTGAGATCTCATGGCATCCAACATCCAATGGATTTAGTGTAAAGACGTCATAAACAGTCACAGAAAAACATGACCTTGTGCAATGCCAAGATACAGGTATCGACAGATTGTAGATCCATGAATGTGTATATTTATATAACAATAATATTTAGTTTGCTTTTAATTTACTGATAACAAAATCAATATTAGTACCAATAAAAACAATATTTAATGATCTAATTACAGTGTTGAATTGGTAACCTTTTAGAATAAGTTTATTAAAAGGATCGATAAGTTTACTAGGATCGTTTCTAAATTTCCGGGCACGGTAAACAATATTGCCGTAAAAATGAGGATGTGCAATCCCGTTTGAAATAAGTTTTCTACAGGTACAACCAAACTTCCAAACCAATCTTTATATCTATGGAAGAATTTAGTAAAGGTTTTAAGTAATTTGTGGTAACGAAGTCCCTAGCGTAATAATTTACCAGTAATACATAGATTACGTTCGTTAAAATCAAAAACGTCACAACAGACACAAGCATAGCGAACGAGTTGTGAAATATAAACACCGTAAGATGGTGCCAAAGGAACATCACCATCCAAAAAGGGAAAATTAACAAAAGGGAACGAAAAATCGTCCCTTTTGTCGTACATTTTCGTGTGGAGTTTCCCGTGTAAAACCGAAATATCTAAATCTATGAAAGGACAGTTGTTACCGTTTAAATTTGATTCATTTAAAGTAAGTTCCTTTGGGTAAATTTCGGCAGTATATTGAGAAATTCTTGATTATTTAACGAAAAAATATCATTAAGATAACGGTAAGTGTTGTTGAATTTATCAATTAAATGCAATTTAGACGGGTCTTTACTGAGTTTGGTCATAAACTGTGATTCATAACAGTAGAAAAACAAGTCTGCTATTAAAGGGGCGCAATAAGGGCCCATAGGAATACCTACAACCTGTCGATAAACTTTGCTGTCGAAACGTACATAAATATTATCAAGGAGAAAATTAACAGCTTCAATCATCTCATCACACCTCCAGTAAGTATATCTAGCATATTTGTTCATTTATATGTTTTGGAGTTTAGTATGACGTCCATTTTCACTTAAATAGTACACATCTTCAATTTAGTGCCCAGCTGAAGCCCGTTTCCGGGTGCGGGATTTTCTTGCTGTGTTGAAGACCCGTTGGTGGCCATTTTCAATTTTAAAATTAGATTCAGCATATCAAGGCATATCTTTAATTTAATTTTTAAAGATTTCAAACAAAAAGTTTAATTTTGGACCCTTTTGACCTTAATATGAATCATTTCAAAAACAGACCCTAAAATCTAAATATCAAATACCCAATTAGATTCAGCATATAAAAGACTCTCAAGAATTCAAGACTTTTGAATTAAATGCCATTGAAATTGCTAAAAAAAATAAGCAGTTTATACAAAGTATTGGTTTTGGCCCTTTTTAACTAAACCGATAGGGTCATAACCCCTAAAATCAATCCCAAGCTTTACTTTATGTTATTACACCTTGTGACACAATTGAATAGCAATATATAGACTTATACTTAAGTTATTGTCCACAAATCAGAAAATCCCTAGTTTTTGGCCCCCTTTCAAGCCCCTATTATTGAACGGTTTGGACCTTGACACCTAAAATCAATCCCAACTTGCCTTTAAAAGTATGGAACCTTGTAGTAAAATTCATAGAAATCCAAACTCTAATACACAAATTAGTGTCCTAAAACATGAACAATTCTTCTTTACGAACTCTTTTTGGTCATTAATTACTAAACAGCTACACCAATAACCCCTAAAATAATCCCAACCTTCCTATTGTGGAATGGAACCTTGTGCTTAAATTTATTACAGATCTATACAGTTATAATCAAGTTATTATCTGTGAACTAGACAAATAATTGTTTTTGTTAGGCCCTTTTTTGGCCCCTAATTCCTAAACAGCTACTATAATAACCTCCCAAAATAAACCCAACCTTCCTATTGTGGTATGGAACCTTGTGCTAAAATTGAATAGAGATCCATACACTTATACTCAAGTTATTGCCTGCAAAGAAGAAACATAGTTATTTTCTGTCTCTTTCTTACCCCTAGTTATTAAACGATATGGGCCATGAACCTCCAAAAATCATTCCAAACTTTCCTTTTGAAGTATGGGGAACCTTGTGGTAAACTTTCATAGAAACCTTTACTCTTATACACCAATTATTGTCCTGAAACATGAAAAATGCTTGTTTTTGGCCCCTTTTTGGTCCCTTATCCTAAACAGCTACGACAATAACCCCAAAAATAAATCCCAACCTTCCTAATGTGGTATGGAGCCTTGTGCTAGAATTTAATAGAGAGTTATACACTTATACTCAAGTTATTGTCTATAGCTATGAACCTGACAAAATATTGTTTTTGTTAGACCGTTTTTTGCCCCTAATTCCTAAACAGCTATGACAATAACCCCAAAAATTAATCCCAACCTTCCTATTGTTGTGGTTCTGTGCTAAAATATTGCCCAAATAAATATCTCTTATACTCAAGGGAATTTCTTAAAACCGGCTAGATAATTGTTTTTGACCCTTTTCTGACCCCTAATTACAAAACCGCTTTCGGAAATTGCTGGGTTGTTTCTTTTATTATATACAGTTTTTTTTTCTCCGCCGAAGCCGATATAAAATATTAAAGAAACACGTGATATTTTAAGTAATTTAATAATTTAATCTTCAAGATAATATTTATTGGTTTACTGTGAATGTTGGTCTGTACGAAAAGACTGGGATTTCTAATAATGATTTTTTTCATTGAATGAAATTAAAAAAACTAGTAAAATGAATGATTTTTTATATCTCTTAGATGTCCTTTCACAAAGCAAAGATGATCTTTAAGGGAAATTAACGCAATCGACGGTTGAAACTTTTAACGTCAGTTTTTGACAATTGAATGTCTTTTATTCATTGCATAGATCTGAATCTTTTAAATAACAGAAAGAATATTTTATGTTGTGAATTAAGATAGTGAATATTTAAAAAAAAAATTAATAATAAATCACGATAATGTTAATAAACTACCTGACACCCGTCAAATCTGTACAATGTAAAAACGTCTACTTACACTACCACATTTGTACAAGGTAAAAAAAATCCGTACACCGTCATATTTGTAGAATGTAAAATAACAATGTAGGCTGTGGTCTTGTGTGAAATAAAAGTTTTAGTTCTCTTATGCAACATTTTCATTTTCCCTTTCAACAAAAAGTTTATAACAGAAAAAAGTATACACGCTTCCATATGCTAAAAGCATAAGAACATAACATATTTTATCATATTTTGAAGCCTTTTGTTTCCTTCTTTTTTTCTTTATTTCATTTTTCTTCGTTTCATCTAAATTGTCTTCTTTTTTCCTGTTTTTCTTGTCTTCTTTTAAATTCACAATATCATCTGAAACACAATAAAATACATATTTAGTTACGTTTAAATAACAAATGTTAAACTATGTCAGAATTTTATTACATTTCAAGTTAGACGACTGTTATTTTGCTATTTCTATGGGTATGAATATTAGTATAATATTTACTATACTATACAACATTCCTATTTATCAGTGTTTTAAGTTGTACTTTCACCTGCTTTCCCCATACCTGTAGGGACGAACAAGAGATGAGGGAAAGCTTTTGGGGATCCCATTTCCTTAAAAGGTAATGACAATCTTACAATGCTATGTATTATGAGGATAACTAATTTGCAGTGAGATTTAGTCAGGAAAGTAATTACATATAATACATAATGTAACATAAGTGATATAAACGAATGAATTACACGTTCAACTAAGTTTTTAGGATCTACTCTTTTAAACAGTATCCTGATTTTTCTGCAGTTTGAGATTCAGCATATTAATGCCTTCAATATGGTAATAAGCTGCCGGAATTAGGAAAGCATTCTTTGAAATACAAACATGCGGTGGCATTTATATAAAGGGCGAGAACGATGTCGAGAACAGCTCCCACATGCATTCTCAGAATTAGGACATGTAGATACCGATCATAAACCATATGCTGTACCAGTATGACACGCTGCACCGGGATTGTTTTTACGTACTAGTTCTCTAACTTCAATTGATTCCTACATGTAAATAACAAATATGTGTCCAAAACATGTCATATCTTATTATTTTATGTAAGGCTGAAATAGTTATAGCATAATTAGAAATTATAAAAAGAATAAACTTTGATAACTATTTTCCAGACAGTCAGAAAGACTAGCTGTCATTGCAATAAGATAAATATTTAAAAAATGAGAGAAAAAACCAAAGGCATGATGTCCATGTAAAGTGTGAATCGAAAAAAATGTTCTTATGTGGAATAGCGATGTTTTCTATTGTAAACGAGATCAATGTTGGAAAATGTATTTGAACAAAAGAACATTTTTTGCTAAATAATTGTTTTTCCTTTTTAAAACAGTGATGTATTTAACAGGACAAAAATGGCTGTATAACTTTCCATGCATTGCGTACAACTAATTCCTAGCATGTTATATTAATACTAGAAAAGAGGCATATGGATTAAATCAACATATTTCCACCATCTATCATTTTGAAGTGTATAAATACTATGACAATCATGCAACAAAGACAGTGCAATGCTCTTTCAATGTGTTTGATTGCATTTTAAGCCATAATCACGTGTAATAGATTAATATAGCTATATTTTCTTATATGAATGTGATATTTTTCTAATAGAATAGCAATGTTTTTTTTATGAAAAACTTTTTAATGCTATATTTTTCTCAAAGAAATGGGATATTTTTTTCATAGGGCACCATTCAATCCAATCAAACAAGAAACATCGGCTTTTATTCACGACAGGTTAGATGGAATATGTATATCATGATCACTGAAACTTCGTACATGGTATACATTGAGGAGATTGGGTATGATTGCCAATGTGACATCTATCCAACAGAGTTCAAATGTCGTGGATTGAAGCAATAATATGTCAACGTAAGGCCTCAAAACAATGAGCAAAAATCCTTACCTTAAATTACACACTCAGTATAACAGGACCCGACATGACAAAAAGTGAAACGATTCAAACAAACAAAATCAACGGCGTGTTTTATGACAAAACAATTAACGAAAACAGATGTAACAGACAGCAACCAACGACAACCACTGCATTACAGGCTGCCTACTTTGGACAGGGACATTCAGAATGAACCCTTCAACATATATTAAAAGTTAGTTAAAAGTTAATAACAGCTACCAAATAAATCATGATCTCCAAGACAAAGGTATAGATAGGTACATGCTTTATAAACTATATAAACTGAAAACATTAGGAAGTTATATTCTGTTTTAAATAATAATTCTACAGGTACAGCCACACTTCAAAACCATTTCTTTGTAACTATGATAATTTAGTAAAGGGTTTACGTTATGTATTTTAACGAAACCCCTGATTTAAAATCATATGATACAATTTAAAAAAAAGTTTCATATGTTTTACATACTTCAATGGCTAAGTTGTACTTTAAAACACGTATACACGTTCTTTTAAAAGAAAATCAACATATATTTTATCCCCATCTTCAGAAATGTACTTAATTTTTCTTCCTGTACTCTAATTCACCGACAGCTTATCCCTATGCAGTGACCTTAACCATGACACTTCGGCAACCGCATAGCACAAGCGCGAGAGGGAAAACCGCGAAGAAAGAAAAGGTAAACAAATGATGAGAGAAGATAAAATAAATCCATTCAGAAAGAAAACTGTTGATACATCAAATAGAAATAAGAAGATGTCATATGAGTGCCAATGAGACAACTCTCCATCCAAGTCACAATGTGTATAAGTTAACAATTATAGGTCAAACCTTTTATTAACTATTATGACTAAGTTTAATTAACAAATGGGAACGCATTGAAAATATAGATAAAACAAATACACATTGCTTAACCATCTCATTATTGTTCACGTGCTCCATGATTTTGTGTTAATCATTTGTCAACATGTAACAATCGGGTAACTTCTGCAACAAAACCTTCAAGTTAATTAGCAGCCAAAGTTGTCAATAATCACAGAATGAAGCGTTTTTTTGTCGATTACTATGTTGTCTTTAGTTTTTTATGTTGTGTTTTGTGTACTGATGTTTTTCTGTTTGTCTTATTCTTTTTTATCCATGGCATTGTCAGTTTATTTTTCGACTTATGAGTTTGAATGTCCCTTTAGTATCTTTTGCCTCTCTTTTACTATAAAACCAGGTTCAATCCACCATGTTCTACATAAGAAAATGCCTCTACCAAGTCAGGAATATGACAGTTGTTGTCCATTCGTTTGATGTGTTCGTGCTTTTGATTTTGCCATTTGATTAGGGACTTTCCGTTTTGAATTATCCTTGGAGTTCAGTATTTTTGTGATTTAACTTTATACTAGTAAACGTTATGGATTTGCAATAAATGTACACAGGACTTAGTTTAGTATACATATAAATAAAAAGAAGATGTGGTATGATTACCAATGAGAAAACTCTCCACCAGAGACCAAATGATGTCGGAGCTACCAACTATAGGTCACCGTACGGACTTCAACAATGAGCAAAACACATACCTTATAGTAAGCTTTAAAAGACCCCGAAATGACAAATGTAAAACAATCCAAATGAGAGCACTAATGGCCTGATTTATGTACAAAACAATAAACAAAAAAACAAATATGATAAACAGCAAACACGACAACCACTTAACTACATACAGGCTCATAACTTGGGACAGGCACATACAGAATGTGGCATGCATAGGTTCAATTATTTCCTATAGATATTATAATAACCTGAAACTGGTTTCATATGACTCATATGATAATTTACCAGTTATACACAGATTTCGTTCATTCAAATCTAAAACGTCACTCCAGACACGGGCATAGTGAATAAGGTGGGGAATATATACACCGTAGGAATGAACCAAAGGAACATCGCCGTCAACAATAAGGAACGTAAAAAACATCTTTTGTCGTTAGTTTTGCTTTGACTTTCTCTCAAATATCCTAATCTAAAAAAGTACAATTATTGCTGTTAATGTTAATGTTAAATTTATCTAAAAAAAGTTTCCCTTGGTAAATTTCAGCAGTATGATTAGAGATTTTTTTCAAGCAAACACTAATCACGGTAACAATAAGTGTTATTAAATTGATGAATTAAATGGAATTCAGACGGATCCATACTGAGTTTGACTGAGATTTGATAAATTTTGGTTTTCTCTATCAATATTGCACTGTATCACCTGCCAAGTCCATAATACATGTTCCTATGACTATACTGAGTAATTCCATTTTTAATATTGGTGCTTTGGCGGAATTTAAATTTGGCTACATTCAATATTCGCCCGTACTCGATTATATCATAGGCCATAAAGACAAAGAAATTTTATTTCTAAAGAGAAAGAAGTATTTAGAGAGACGATACAATCTAAAAGGTTAGCAATAAAACCTGACAATGAATTTGCACGTGGCAAAAGTATTATTCCAAACAAAAACAGATGTATAGTTCCCGTTTTCCGGGACATGAAAGATACAATGGTTAAAACTATTGTTTTACCAATTATGCAAATAAAACTTTAATCTAATAAATCATGTTCGAAGAACAATGAATAATTTCGAAAGAAGTTTTAAAAATTAATTTTAACGCTTAGCAGTGAGACGAACTGATACCTAATATAAAAATAAACTTTTAATTACAATACAAAAATACTGTAATTACAAAATACAGCATCTACAATAAAATAAATCATTTTCTTTACATAAGAAAATCATAACACTACAATGTTGCCACGAACATGTACTTTTGCTATTATTTTACTATTCAACATGTTTCAAGACATAATTGTGGTTTATATTTAAACGATATGTTGACAGTTTTTATACCCATAAAGAATATAGACTTGTTTCTATTTTAAGAGATGCACTGAATTTTTTTCATTTTAAACGACAAAGGCAGAAAATAACCGATTTCAGACTCTATTGATTTATTGTTATACATAAAACTCTCCTGTTTTTCGCGTGATTTGATTCGGTACTTAATATAATGATATTTTTTATATATTAAATATATTTTTCATTGCCAAAATCATCGTTTTTTTCATGCAGTCTCTTCATATTTATAACTGTATATAACTAAATATCACACTCCACATGAAAAAAAAACGGTATTCTACTGTTGCCTTTATTATCAATTCGCACTTTCCATAGTATGGTATTGAATGTAAAAAAAAAAAAGGCTCAATGAAATAGCAACACATGTGTTATGAATATATGGACAAGAGTAATCAATCAAGCTTTAATAAATAATAGTCATTTTCAATTGAATGTCAGGAATCGTGGACAAAAGGTATCATGCACGAACGGAAACTATGATGATTATTGAAAAAATCACGCGCAAAGTTCGAACCCTAAATAGGACATTCATTTATGAGAGGTAAAACGTGCGTAAGCTGAAAGTCAAAAGTGAGATTGTAAAATCATTCTCTAACCTCAAAATGCTTACATTTCGACATTACACCGCGATACCTGTTGTTGATATTGAGTTATAATCTAAGCCCATTTCTCCGTCTATGATTCAAACCCTGCAATGAAAATCGTGCCACAAGTGGAGCAGGACCTGCTTACCTTTGTGGAGTACATGAGTTCATACCAGTGTTTAAGTATGGTTCATGTTGCTCAGTCTTAAAGTTTCTATCACACAATTGTATTTCTCCGCTTTTAAAAGATAGTCGAAAGATACCGATGGAATTTTCAAACTCTTTAGTCGAAAACAAACTGACAATTCCATGGCAAAAAAAGGTTCACACAACAGTACACACAACACAACATAGAAAACTAAAGGACTGATCAACAAAACCGTACACCAATCTTTTTTTTTGCCATTGTGTTGTCTAGGTTATATGAATTATCGAATGCCTCCTTTTTATCTTCTCTCTTTTTTGTTTTCTATTACCGACAGTCGATACTGTCGATACTGTAGATGCTGTAAATGCTGTAGGCAACACAGATCAAAATCTGCTGTAGATAAAGGCAAACTCCATTATATTGAAATGGCAATCTTAAAGACAAGGCAAAAATCTGCTACACACAATAGCCAAAAACAATAGTAGTAATAGCAATAGGGAACATAAAAAAACGCGTATCTTCCGTACTGATAGCAGTACAAGGCCGTGGGATTTAAACAGGAGGAGTTGCCGAAATATCACAAAAGCTTAAATTTTCAATTTCAGTCCAAAGACAATATGCGAAATTATAAAGAACAACAGACTAGAAAATCTAGTGTAACTAAAACAGGTTTCAAGTGATTTGGCAAGGCTTACCAAAGGAACTGCAAATATTTCATCATTCCATTAAAGCGCTTAAAGTGGCGGAGATTTGATAAGGTGGTATGGTCAACACTTCTTGAAATCTTAAATTAAAGTCATATTAAACGATTTACTCATAATAAGATTCTGATGTTAAAGAACTTATTGAACCAATGCATGCATACTATACTACACTAAGTCCTCTGTGTACATTTTGTCACATTATAATGAACCCATAAGGTATGATAGACAAAACATGTTTCACTCGGTGACTGTTGAATGAAAACTTTGGCTCAGAGTTTTCTTTCGATATTTGGACCAGAAGTATTTTCAAATCGTCACATTCATAAAAAATCAACACAGAATAATATAGCACGTGAAAAATAAGTGGGTTGTAGAGCGATGCTCATTTTGTTTCTGTAAAAATTTTCATTCGATCCCAATTGTTAAACACAATGAGACAGAAGCTAGATAAAAGGCTTAATAATATTATAAAAATAATTTGATTGATTGTTGGTTTTTGTGGATTAACCAGCTCACCCAGAATTTAAACAGGAGGATTCATAAAAATATTTCAATTAGCTTTATTGAATATTAAAGTCGATACCTAGCGTTCTTAAAAAAACGGATTTTTAGCGGAGTTTTCCAAAAGAGTTTCAAATAGTATGATTTCAGCTACTTCAAATTATAAATGAACATACCAACATTTTCCTGACTGGAACCCGGTTGATTGGTTGGGGTTTCTTGCGATTGAACATACTTTAGTTCTGTTTCCTGTCTGTCCTCTTCTATTCCAGAAAAACCTGTAAAACAGTTTTTTGATTTAAAAAATACTTTATTTGTAATAATTTTGGCATTCGAATTGTCCTGTTCTTTCACATAGCTAGATATTGAACAAAGTCTTTATCCGATAGGACATTTGCAGAAAGTTAGTTGCAGTATTAACGACATTAACACTTAATAAAAATGTTTGAATTAAGGAATTATATTTATTGGATCAAATGACAACAGAAACGGAACGAGACAGCAAAATAAGTTTTGTGCATGAACAATCAAGAATAAACAATATCTGACAAAAACGAAAAAACAAATATTGCAGACAGCATCCGATGATAACTTCTTAATTATAGGCTCTTGGCTTGGAATAGGAACATATATAATGTGATGGGGTCAAACATGTAATCATTTTACTACCACAGTTCAGCTTAAGGCCTCCTCTGAACATTTGAAGGTCCTTACTACAAAATGTATGTATTCGTTACCTAAACTACACAAAAAACCCGTTAAACATCTTTTCATCTCGGCCTCTAGTAAGTGTTTTCTACTAATCGTTCGGTGCATTTAACGAGTTCCTTAATAACTATCAGCAAAACTTAATTTTTGTATTAAAATATATGAAAATAGTGGAAATAACCATTTTTGGAGTGTAAAACATTCTTTATATGTTTTAGATAAAATACGTGCTTTTGATGGGCCCTTTGATTCGATTGAAAGTTTTGGCTTTTCCAATCTTTATTCTACACCACCACACAATCTTGTTGACATAATTGTTTGTTTTTATAATGACTAAGATTATGCTGACATAATTGTTTGATTTTTATAACGATTAAGATTAAAACACAATATTGACTGCTGTACCCCTATTTTTGACATTTTTACCTATTGTGTCTGTTTGTTTTGTTCAATATCATTGTCAATATAATGGATTTTTATGCGACTGCCATACAAGTGAGAGGTTTAGCTTGTTATAAAACCAGGTTTAATTCACCATTTTCTACATGAGAAAATGCATGTACCAAGTCAGGAGTCTGATCAAACAAAAATTTTCCTATCTAATTAAATGGTCGTTTGATATAAATTCTGAATGTAAATTTATTTGCTGCAAATCATATTAAACCTTGTTTTTTCATGAAAAAGGTAAATATGCTACATATACTTACTGGATGTGTGATGAGATGATTAAAGCGCTTAATTATCTTCTTTGCAACATTTATAAACGATTCGGCAATAAAGTTTATCGACTGGTTGTAATTATTCCTATGGGCATCAATTGTGCCCAATTAATAGTAGACTTGTTATTTTACTGTTATGAATCACAGTTTATGGACAAACACAGTAGAGAACCCAAATTAAATTAAATTACATTTAATTGATAAATTCAACAACACTTACCGTTATCTTGATGATATGTTTTCGTTAAATAATCAAGAATTCTCTAAATATACTGCTGAAATTTACCCAAGGGAACTAACTTTAAATGAATCAAATTTTAACAGCAATACATTTCCTTTCCTAGATTTAGATATCTCAGTATTACACTAGAAATTCTACAGAAAAATTTACGCAAAAGCGATGATTTTTTCTTTCCCTATTCTTAATTTTCTCTTTTTGGACGGTGATGTTCCTTTGGCACCGTCTTACGGTGTTTATATATCACAACATGTTCGCTATGCTCGTGTCTGTAGTGACGTTTTGGATTTCAATGAGCGTAATCTATGTATTGCTAGTAAATTATTCAGTCAGGGACTTCGTTATGAAAAATTACTTAAACCTTTACTAAATTCTTCTATAGATACAAATATTTGGTCTGTAAGTTTGGCTGTACCTGTAGAAAACTTATTTCAAATGGAATAGAATATCCTAAAGCTGATCCCGGAAATTTAGATACGATCCGGGAAAACATATCAATCCTTTAAATAAACTTATTCGAAAAGGTTACACTGTAGTTAAATCATTGAATGTTGTTTTTATTGGTATAAATATTTATTTTGTTATCAGTAAATTAAAACCATACTAAATATTACACATAGTTACTTTCACGGTACTACAATCTGTCGATACCTATATTTTGGCATTGCACAAGGTGACTGTAAATGACGTCTTTACACTAAATCCATTAGATGTTGGATGTGTACTGATTGATGTTTTAGTCTTAGCTACGTGATTTTTTATTAGATGATATTGGCTTTGAACTAGCTGTCAGTATATGCGAGTACTCTCAGATCTGTACTCGGTGTCTTTTTTGTTGTAATGGATGAGTGAACTTTTCCGTATATGAGAAATCGACGTTGAACAAAATTCTAAATTTAGAATTGTACCTCTCATGTAGATTTCTGACATTATGTTCTGGTGTGGCAATACTTTTCGTAATTTTGGGATTTTTGGCAACCCATTAATGTTTGTGTTTTGGCCTTGAGAGATATCAATTGTCGAAATGTGCATTTACAACTCTACATTGCTTTCGTCAATGTTATTCTTTAAAAACAAATCAGATGTCTCATTCCCGAAATGTATTTGAGAGAAAGCTAGGATGGATTGCGATTGTCTTGTATATCTACGACTGAGGAGCATGTCCTTATAATTGATAATAAATACCAGAAGGAAAAACAATTATAAGGTGTCATGTACTGAACAGAATAATATCATTTAGCTTGGGAAAAACTATATATATTAAGACCATCGACAAGGATGTTGAAAAGTATAAACTTTGTCCATTTAGTTTGTTAATAGTAGTTGTGTATACGCCTTTGATGTCTTATTCCTATCTATGCGTGTAAAGATACAGAAACAAGTCAAATGCGTATCAATATAAAGAAAATAATTTGATTGATTGATTGTTGTTTATGTGTGTATACAATTTCTGAGGAATTAAACAGAAAGAAATCCTACAAGCATTTCAAATGATTAAAGCACAGAATCAAAACCTTGCGTCAAGAAAACCAACAGAAACTGATGGAATCGCATGAACTCCAAACGGAGCGAGACAGTATTTGTCGACAGGATTATCGTAACTTGCTTTGCATGCATAAAACAGTTTTTAAGTGTTTAGTCGAGGTTATACTAAAAGAAACGAAACATTTGCTAGTAGTCCTTTGTTAATCTATATATCATTGTCATTTTGCTTAGTTTCTTCTGTTTACTTATTCTGACATCAGACTCAGACTTCTTGTAAACTGAGTTTTACTGTGCGTATTGCTGTGTGTTTGTTTATTCTACATTGGCTAGAGGTATATGGAGAGTTCAGATCTCACAAAACATGTTTAACCCGTAGCATTTTTGCATCTGTCCCAAGTCAGGAGCCTCTGGCCTTTGTATGTTTTGTATGTGTTTTTTAATTTTTGTTGTAATAACATGTTTCGGAGTTTAGTGTGACGTCCATTTTCACTGAACTACTACACATTTTTGTTTAGTGGCCAGCCGAAGCCTGCCTCCGGGTGCAAGATCTTTTTGCTGTGTTGAAGACCCATTGGTGGCCTGGGGCTGTTTTCTGCTCTTTGGTCGGGTTGTTGTCTCTTTGACATATTCCCTGTTTCCATTCTCAATTTTATTTGACCATCAAATGGACGCGACTGATGGAAATGTCACCAAATAGTATACTTTAAGTAACTTAACATTATATATAAACACACAAACATTTTCCGGATTGGAACCTTGGTGATGTATTGATTCTTCTTGCGATTTTACATACTTAAGTTCTGTAACCCCTATGTCATCTTCTTTTTCAGAGCAGCACGATGAACAAATTCCTGAAGAACAAATTGTGTTTTTTTGCAACGTGATTTTTTCCTGATCTGCATTCTTATTATCACCTTTCTTTTTACTGTTGCATATCGAGCAAAGTCTTGCACATATACCACATTTGCGGTAGAAAATTGCAATTATAATGACATTCAATATGAGAATGATTCCGCTTATACCAAGTAACCACCACAACAACCTTCCAAAGTAAGAAGGTTTGTCAGAAGTGCTTGGTAAGGATTCGTTAAATAACTCAATCATTGCTGTAAAACCCAATATAACAAATGTTGATAACGTGACTTTGGCTCCGCTTTCCACTGGTAGCCAAAAAGTTACAATATTTATAAATGTAATAGCAACAGTTGGAGCAAGGAATCTCCATACGTAATATGTTTGTCTTCGATCCATTTCTATGTGTAAGATCACTACAGAGAAGTTTCTTCCGTTAACATGTTCTATTGTTGTATAATGTCTTATTTTGTCAGGTTTAGATATATGCCACTCACCATTTGATTTAAATAGATTCAGGAAATTAGCTGGCAATCCAATGCTTAACATCTGTTCCTTGTTATCAAGATTTTGGGCTCTAAAATTTAATGTACAGGTTTCAGTTTCAAAAGGATATCTTGTTGGATCTACAAAGCAGTAAGTATTAACTTCAATAACATCACGCCGTTCTACCAGCCCATTACTGTAGATATAAACACGTTTATCATTATCTTCAAAAATATTGGATTTGTCTGCATAATTTGTAAGCAACACATCAGGCGTCCATATCTTTGATATTGGAGCTGTTATTGCATCCGTTTCTCCGTAGTCGCTCTTATTCCACGTCAAAAATTCATCTGTCCATGACATCTTTATACCAAACGAAGTTGTCAGGATTTGGTTCGTCATGTCTAATGAATGAATTGTGTATAGCGCAATTTCAATCTCTATCTCTATCGGTTTGCTTTTATTCACAGTTGGCTTCCTAATATATTTGTCGTAGTCCCTGTTGTCCAGTATGTCCTTCAACAAAAGGGTTTCAACGTTTACACCATAGACAATAAACACAACATTACATATACAGATAAGATGGAAAAGAATCAAATTCATTTCAGTTCATTTTAAATTATTTTAAAACTGCACACATAATTTAAGAAAACCAAAGATTAAAATACTTAATATAGACGATTTAAATCTCAAAAGAATACAATTGTACATGATTTTAAACTCCGTGATTTTAGTTGACAAAAAGTTTGGAAAAGTGCCATACATTAAATTATTTATTACGTTTCTATTG